AGTGCCTTAATCCGCCGATTGATTCACCACGTACCTATATAACATAACTCCAATGATCAACGAGGATTTTAAAGTCTATTCTTGGTGGAGGTGGGGATGAATCGAAAGTATCATTATTATTCAACAACAGTATACAAAAAACCTGTCTATATATACGCTAGTCGTCGAACCGAAATTTGTACACGCGGCTCCCGCTGCGGTTTCGGCGACATAAGGCCCGTGTGTACAATAACATACAAGCGAACGCGGAACGGGAAAAAAAAAGATAAATAAAAAAGAACCGCCATTGTCGTGAAATAATATAATAATATATATACTATATTATAGTGTGTAATAAAATCGTCTTTTGTCGCCGCCGATGTGGTCCCGCGCCGCCCGGGGACCATTATGCGTCGTTTGTGTTATTATTACAATCATTTATTTATCGCGATATTATATCATGTCATTATATACCATCGGCGATGTTCGTACATGCGTTAAACACGACGTTGTGCGATGCCACCGCCGCCGCCCACCCCTGCCCAACCGAAACGAGGGGGTGTGGTGAGAAGCTGCGACGGAGATAATGTCAAAAAAAAAAAACACGAGAGACTATTACGCGATTAGGGTGGTTTTGTGCACACACACACAAGCGTATTATTTATATACATAACATATTGTGTGTCTGTGCGAGAGTGTGAATACGTTTGGGGATTTGCCGCATGCATATAACGGCAGTCGGAGAGCATAAACCACCCCCGTCGTTTTTATGCACACATAAACATATATATCGTACCTATATAGAATACAAAACCACAATCCGACAGCACATGGATTTTATATAAACGATAGTATATATACGCTTATTATTAGGCATTATTATATCGTGTAAAATCAAACGTTATTGTCCTAAGCGAGTATGCAATTTTTTTTTTTTTTTTTTGTATTCTGTCTAATGAGAAACAACTACGTCAGCTATAAATTTGATTCATTTATGTCTACAAAACGTAAACAGTAGGTATATAATTCCTACACATTTCTTTTAGCTATTTTTTTCTTATGATTTTTTATTCACTTTTAAAAAGATATTATTGTTTTAAGTTATTTTTTTTTACAAAATGTATTCTTATTCAATGGAATCTGAAATATTTTATAGCTCAACATTTATTTTTACATCATTTATAATGTTTATGTACGTACAAATCTTGAGATTTGGAATTTTTAACCAACCTGTAATACGATTATAGAGGTATGAGGTAATAGGTAGTCAGGTATAGGTATAATACTGCTATAATATAACAAATTCATAGAAAAAAACAAAATTAGTTGGTACAAGGTACCTAATGGCGGTGACTACCGCCTATAGGTACATGCTATTTTTTTGGTTTATTCCTAAATGATTTTTAGTGCTTTATGCTTTTTCGCTTTATTTTAAATACTGCTTAAGAGTTTTATTGTGCCAGAAAAATTAAGAATGCTATTGTACATACCATTAAGCGCGGAGCAGGGCTAATTTATAAAATTATCATATTTTTGTCTTACACAAAATCAGGGCACGCGCTGTTCTTTATTATACAGTTCGTTGGTGGTCGATTATAATCTCGACCTCGAATGACTTTAAAAATTAATTATACCAAATAGATTTAGTGCTCAGTAAAAAGTTGATGATTAATTGTGTAGTCGTGTCGCTTAATAAATATTGCGCCACGATTGTTGAAAAAGAACATAAACGTGTCATCGAGCATGTATATTACCCATAAATTTATTGACAATACATTGAAAACAAATCGATTACGACGAAAAACATTTTGGTAGGTCGCACAGACACTGTATTTATTATAAAAATGGTGTACTGCTGCGTCATCACTCGGTGATTACGATGTAGTCGAATCGAGTATAATACCTTAGAACATCAGTATGTATTTAATGTTTGTCAACGGCTATATTGGGTAAGGGGCTACGTGATGCAATCTACATACGTAGTTCTATATTGAAACATTATATTAATTTATAAATATTGTGCGCAATAGACAACGGTCACCACGGTATATTATGGTGATTTAGTGGAATAACCATATTTTGAAATTTTTGCAATCATTTTTTTATTGTCATTATTGACTACCTCAATATTATAGATAGTTATCCTACTCGAATACCCAAGTTAATTAGAATAATCATAGATAGATACGAAATACCTATTTCTTTCTGGTGACAAATCAAACCATTTCAAAAACAATTTGTCACGAAAAATGAGGTAATTTCGTGACAGAGCGCGTTTACAAATTCACTCTATATGCGCATGCGATGAAGAGTCACGCGACACCACAATTAAATATTATTTATCAATTATCAAATCCGTGAAGTATTGCGAATATAATTTATTATATTATATTAAATTGGTACAAGTACATAAACATCTTGAATACTGTGCAGGACCAAACGCGCGTATATCATTGTAATCTGCACGTTATTCGAAGTGTACTCGAAACCCACACATTAGGTATATAGTATATACCATATCTATGTACCTGGTAAATACATATGCCAATAACCACTAACTGTGCTGTGATCCACGGTGTTAGCTATCAAACCCATTAAACTAAAAATATTCTGTTATGAAAACGTTTTGTAAAAGCCAAACGACTGAAGATAAGTCGATGCCTGTTGAAATGATGCTTATATTCTACGTCAATTATAATTAATGTAAACGTGCTTATATGTGGTGTCGATTTAATGTCTTAAATGCGTGCATATTATAATATAATCAATTATTTGATTGGCTCGCTTCCCGTTTACTTAATGCCAGTCGATTTCCGGGGAATTTTGATCTAGTTGACCAAAACTTGTGATGGAAAGTGATGTCTGATGTTAGCTACTAAAATAATATTACATTATGGAACGAATTTTTAAATTATTTTACGTTGAACAACTCAATATATACATATATATACATTATACATAACCACATAGGTATATACATTATTTTCTGTTTTCCAGTTTTCCTCATAATATCACATAACCTATTCACGAAAAAATTCCTATCGAGGTATATTGCCTGCAGGTCGCATGGCTTACAGTAAAACAAATAGCACTGTATGCTCGGGTGTCGGGAATGTGCGAAAATCAACGACAAGTCATGCCGACACGTAGGCGCCCAAAAAGCGGCACACATTATATGGGTCACGAAACGTCCGAGATTTTACGTGTTATAGGTTATGGTTCACACAAAAATCGAATTTTTCTTTCCGAAAATCACTCGAGTTAACATTATGGAGTATAATGTTTTGTTATCCATTAGGTACAGTATTTCGTGATTACTAATATATGGTAATATCTAATAAATAGTAATAGTCAACGATAAGCGTTCTAATATATTCCTGCGATGAATTCGCTGTCAGCAAAATATTTTGAACAATTGCTTAAAAAAATAATGACGTTTGACAATAGCCTAGAAACAAACGACAAAGTCGTAAATATTATAATTTGTACACATTAATCTCGGTTTTTAGGTATATAGGTAAAGTACTCATAGGACAACTGTTTCGAAATAATATAGCGAGTTGTCACATTTTTAAATACGTACGTTCAATAGACATGCGTATTAAATAGCCTACCTATGTAGGCATGAGCTACCTATTATAACTTTATAAGTAGGCATATCATTTGACTTTTACTTTTCGCTTACCATTGCGCAACATTGCACGTTTTGCGCGTGCGCATAAACCGTTAAACGGCCGATTTATAATAATGTATAACAATATTATAATAGGCGAACAATCGGACCAAAGACAATGGAACGGTGTACACACACACACACACATACACATTAGCTGTAGGTATAGGTCGTGTACACGGTAAAGTAGTCGTCAATCATTCGACGACGACAAGTGCAACGAATATATCATTACGAAAATCGGCTATAGACATGAATGCGAAATATATATTATATTAATATAATATATAATTATATCATTATATGCGCATGTGTACACAATAACACACCTACGCGTATTATATATTAGGTATGGACATAATATCTATACCTAATGTGTATATAATATTATTTTTTATACCAGTGCACATTATTATTATTATTATACCTAAATAATCATTAATCGTATTCAACGTGTGCGACAATATAATATAATATGATATTATCGTACGACCGTATCAACGTGTATAATAATATGTATATATACGACGGCGGCGAATAGAGACGATTTTTTTTTTTTGATTTTTTCCGTATTTATCTACATAAATTATACGTTATAAACGCGTGCAGTATAATACGCGTATATATTATGTAGGAACGGAATCGAAATTCTCGCGGATTATTTTTTTTCTTTCCATTGCGTTCGTACGCGACGAATGACTTAATTTCTCGTATGTTAATTTATATATTATTTAACGCTAATGACTAAATATATATTATACTATGCGTGTGTGTGTGTGTGTGTGCATATATAATATGTAAACATATACGATTATCGCACGACGTTTGGCGACGTTTATGTATATACATATTATATTATACCTTACGCGAGAACGCGATTATATTATACAATATTATAGCATAATAGTAATAATCACATTATGATATGCGGTTTTTTCGCTCGATTAAACCGCGTTGAAAACGATTTCGCGCGTGCATAAATAACATATTATAATATACATAAAATTGAATTTACATAATTGCGAGCGACAGCGGCAATCTGGCTGCCAGAAATTAAAGGCAAACACAGACGGCGAATATAAAAAAAAACATCGCAACTGCCGACGAAGAACTCATTATTATACGCACATATACAACTGTTATAATATCATCTAAGGACCTTAGGTGTAAGTGATACCTATTATCAATTATGTGATATACGGCAGTAAATGAAGACGACTACGGAAAAACTCTTCATTGCCAATATATATTACTCTCGCGAGTGATGTGCAATAGAACGGAAAACCGAATACAAACTTAACTATAATATTATAATATATGATAATGAAAAGCCCGTTTTCGCACTCACCCGAAGACGGTCTGTCCGAGTACCGCGTACAGTACACCCAGGCCGGCCACATCTCCTTGTCGTTGGACTGCTGGTCGCCGCTTCCGGTCGCGTCCGATCCCGCCGATTCCTGTTCGTTGCCCGAGTCGTCTGGCTTGTGGTGGTGCTGGCTGTTCCGGCCACCGTTTGCCGACTTGCTGTTATCGCTGTCGTAGCAGTTGTTATTGTTGTTGCTAATGACAGGCGAACACGCCGGCAACGGCTGTTGGGCTGGCTTTCGCTTGTTTACCTTGTCCGGTGCGACAGCGGGCGAGGGTCGTTTGGGACCGACAACCGCTGCTTTGGGACGGGTCGGAGCGGGCCGATGTAGCGACGGTGTAGACTGCTGCGTGTGTGGCTTGTTCTGCAGCAGAGTGCTAAAGTGCAGTTTGGCGGCGGTTGGCGGGGTTGGAGACGCGGACAACGGCCTGCCGAGGCGGTTGTGCTGTGGCGAAGGCTGGTGGTGATGGTGATGTAGGTGATGGTGGTGTTGCTGCTGCTGCTGTAGGTGCTGATGGAGTTTACTGCCGAATTCCGGTCGAAGTATGTTGTCGACGGAAAACGCCAATCGGAACGGGCTGGGCGAGCGGGGTGACGGTGAACGGTAGCTGTTGCAGTTCTTCGTGGTTCCGGCGCCGGCGGCCATCGGGGGACCGCCACCGCAGCCGTACGACGACGATACGTCCGATGAACCAGAAGTGCTGGTCGGTCGGGAAACGTAACCGGTGGGCATCATTGGCGGCTGCTGCGAAGACGGTTGGGGCGGCGGCGGTGGTGGCGGCGGCTGTAGGGGTTGGTGCGCTGCTGACTGCACCACTTGTGACGACGGCACCACCGGAATATGGTGGTGGTGTAGGTTGCCAACCGTACCGTTCAGCTGCAGTTGCCTCGCGAATTCGGCGTGCTGCGACTGTAAGTGGAGAGCGGCTGGTGGTCGGTCGTCGGTCGTTTCGAGCGATCCACCGTCGGTCGGGTGTTGGAGGTTGTGGTGTTGGATTTCCCTGAAATATTCAGGCCTGCAGGCTGGCACGATTGGCAGGAAGTTGAACCGGTACATCCAAGAGTTGAACGGAAACCCAGGCGGCACGTGACCGCCACCACCGGCAGCAGCGGCGGCGGCCGCTGCCATGGCCATCGTGTACTCGACCGCAGCTGCGGCCGCTGCGTTGGCTGGTGGCTGTAACGGGCCGTGATCGCCGTTGTGGGCGGAGTGTTGTTGCTGCTGTTGCTGCAGCTGGACCCATCGTGGCACGTCGGTGGTCACTTGCTGAGCCTTCTGAACTTGTGTTGATGGTTTCTTCCTCACGGGTTGCTGCAGTGGTGGCGGCGAAGAGTGACGATTATAGAGTGGGTCGACCGCCACGGCAGTCTTGTTCTGAAGCGGTGAACATATGCTCAGCGGCTTGCTGCAGGCCAAAAGTGACGATTCCTCGGCTACGACTTTCGGTGGCATCCGATCGTCGTCGCCGTCCGAAGCCGCTCCGTCACGCACAGGCCGAAACGCAGACACTGTGACGTCCGGCTGCGGCTGCTGCGGCGAAGTCGTCGTCGATGACGACTGCGACGATGACGACACCACTTCTTTGGTCTGATCGCTGCAGTCGTCCAGCCCGGGCCGCCGGTTATTGTCCGTGGGGCCGGGGCTTGAAGCGTTGTTCGGGCTGCAACGTTCCGTCTCCAGGGCCATGACCTGCAGGCCTGGATCCGTCGTGAAACGATAAAAGTCGACAATCGCGGGCTTACGTAAAGTTCAACGGGTCAAAACCTACACAATAATATGACGTCGTCGGCAATGCGTACGATAATAATAATAATAATAATAATAATAATAATAATATAAACGTTGCAAATAGCGTCTGTTTAGCGCGTGTGCGCGACGGTGGTTTCGCGGTCGGCCGCGCGTATTACCCGAAAAACGGCGGCGACGGAGGCGGCGTGCGACTCGTCTCCGCGGCTCGATCTGTTGTAATCGTCGTCGTCGGAACGAGTCTACCGGCGCCACCGTGCCGTCCGGTCACGGGCCTCCGTGGCCGCCGCGCAGGCTCCGCCCGTCCCCCGTGCCATGGTTACATGGGGCCGGCGGGCCAACGGGCGCGACTGTTGGGCCACGCCCACTTTACCCGCCGCCCAGCGCTATTGGCCGGCCGATTGAGCTGTTCGTTCACCCCACCACTACCTCTATGCGCGCAGGACGACACCACTCCACCACCCGTACACCAATCTCTCACTCACTCTCGCGCGCTCACTATATTGTTGTTGTTATTATTATTATTATTCTTTTCATGCTCTTCTCTGCTACTCCTTCACCTCAACACCTCTCGTTCGACGCCGCCACCACTGCACAACCGTCTCCTTTTCACAAATACGTTTACGTATTATATATAGATGGATATGTGTGTGGGTAGTATTATATATAAGGGATCCGCAACGTCACGAATGTATATAGAAGACAAAACGAGAAATGTAAATTAATGACTGCGAGTGTGCAGTAAATATATACCTTCCTAGTACACACACATACACACACAAGCACATTCATACGTATAGGTATATTAACTGTACTGGGAGAAATCGATCCTTCGTCGGCAGACTCTAAATAAACATATTATTATTATTACTATTATATGTTTACGGTGGGTGCGATATAGAGGGACCCGGGCATCGGTAAATAAATTAACCAGATTTCCGGAGAACGCGCGTGACCCAATCGAACGACGACTCACACACGATGGACTACGCAGGTTTAATGTATACAACTATAATAATATTATACATCACACGGGAGAGTGATAATAATGATAAAAACTCTGCGATGCGATCGCATAAACCTTTAACTATTATAATATGCACTTGTATGTAGGTATATCTATATGTTATGTACATAATATACCTACCAATATATATACTATAAAAATAATTTAAACACCCGTAAAAATATTAATATTATAATATATTATATGACTAGCGGGCAGGCATCGTTTTCAATATATAGGTACACAGAAAGAAATATCGTAGTTGAAATTAACAAATTATATTTATTGAATTTTGATAATAATATATTTGTTAAGTATATCATTACTTAATTAATTTTACAAGACTTATGTTGGTTTAAAAACATTTTCTTTGCTCCAATCATACAGTTTTTATAGAATTGATAACGGTTTGATAAATTAATAATTTAAAATTTGTTAAAATGCCTGATCTGGCATTAAATAGCAAATAATAATTATTATTGTTTTAAATGCATAGGCGTAACAAGGGGACTATCCACAATAACTTTTTCAAATCGAGATACGATTTTATTGAATCAATAATAATAATTGTATTAAATTAATGATATTTTCTGTAAAACTAGGATCACAACCCCCATAGATAATAGAAGAATGGATAGGCCATGTTAAAGCATAATACAACCAGGATTTAACTATTTAAGATATACCTTAGGTATTGGCGATTGAAACCTTATCAATTATCAGGCCGGTCACTTTCAATCGCCAATATCTTAAATCGTGAACAACGCAAGTTGTCACGGTCTAAGGTCTTTTAAGTATTAGAGAGAAGACGGTCGTCTCTCACCCTCGCAAGTGGCGTATTTTGTTAAGTTATTTCAGTGACTAAGATATACCATAGGTATATCCATTGAACTAGGTATATAATATTAATAAATATTGAAGGGTAGAATGTACCGAGGCAATAACTGCGGTCCGGCATCCCGTCACCCGCCCATCATTTCGTATCTAGTCAACTCGATCATAACGACAATGAAGAAAAATAGCGACAATGCCTAAAAATAGATTTGGGTTTTAATTTATTCCCAAATTTCACCGCTGGTATTTATTAAACTCGCTCAATTGTTAAGTTATCAGTGTTATAATTCATTTGACAAATTATTTTTGTTGAGTTAAAAGTCTTATAGTTAATCCATAACATGATTATGTTTATTATGATTTAAATGCGTTTACTTATTATTCCGAACGTGGAACGTCCACTCATTTCGACGATCAATTTGGCATTGTGCTTGTAATTCGTATATTGAGTGTGTGAACTATAATTTAATTATTATCCGTACCTGCACTACACATCCAAAGATCAATTATACAATATTTGATGGTTCTCTATGCATCTAAGGTAAGTACCTACTTCAATTGTTAACATAAAATGATTTGTTTTATTTGTGAACTAAATGTACCTACATTGCCAGCTTTGGTAGCGCATTTCAAAATTATACATTTATTAGGATCATTTAGTACCTACTTACACGTGTAAAGAAAACAAATGCAATAAATCATTTCAAAGTCTAAGTAGTTTTAGAAAACATATCCAAAACAAACATATTTCTATTGAAAATACCGTACATGTAACTGCACTTAATAATTCAATAACAGCTTCAAATTATAATTTAATTATATTCGTATAGTTTTATGTGATGCACGTATATATAGGTCGCTGTGTGTGGTGAATGCGTGTACACATTTATCATCCGAAGACATATAATTACAGCCGTCTGAAAAGTGATTTTAGCCTGTCAAAATTATATTATCGCCTTTTATTTATTGAATATTATACATAATATATAGGTAGTATATATTTTTGAGGGCAACAAAACCAAATTTCACTTATAATTTTTTTAATTACAATAGGTACCCCATATTTACGACATTTAAATTTTTCTATAATAATCTTTTCTATGATTTATAGATAAATTTTACTTAGAAGTATATTTTTTTTTCATGCCAATCGTTTCCGTAGCGAAAATAGGTAGGTAGGTACTCATAAATTTTTTTACGAGATCAGAATCAGTTAGCAGTTGGTCATCAAAATATTTAAATGTATAAATTGTTTTCGGCATTTCAATAATGGGTATTATGAGCTATACTTGTCGACTAACTGAAATCATAAAATATAATTATTAGATACACAATATAATTGTACTTGTTTTATATACTTGTTAAATCTAATGGTTTCTAGACCGTTCTTACTGCATAGAAATCAGTTACACATTTTATCCAATCTGGATTAAAATTATTTCACCTTGGTGAAGTTCTTTGATTATCTATAAAAAATAATAATTTGTATTTACCAAGCATTAACGAGTTAAAAAGTTAATTTTATTTCAACTTTTTAACATATAACTAGTTACTTTTGGCTTTTCATTAACTTAACTGTTAACTTACTAAATATCTTTTTTAATTAACGTGAAATTAAAGAGTTAATTTTAGATTCTGAGTGAAACGATGAATGTATTGATTATTTACAATGATGTGTGTTTTTTTTTTTATTTTTTTTTTTGTGTCTGCCATCACCTTTTGGGACAGTAAAAGTGCTTAGATTTTCTTCAAAATTATCTTTTCTGAAAGGAAAATGAATCTAGTTGGTACTTTGGGGGATCAAAAGTAAAATTTTTTCAGTAGTTTTCAAAAGCGCCGTGAAAAAACAAAAAAAAAATTAAGGAAAAACGGGAATTTTTACTCAAAATCTGTTTTCGAGAAAATTGATTTTGGTTATTGATGCAACTCTTAAACAAATGACCGTAAGTACATGACATTTTTACTGAATGTTTAAATTAGCATTTTCTATACACCATAACATTTTGACTTACTTTGAGCTGTTTACGGACATTTTCAGTTTTTTTTTCTATAAATATTAATAAAATTTTATTTGTTGGTTAAAAATTTTCTTTTTAAATCTAAGATTTAAAAATGTAATACAAGATTCCTTATAAGTTTGTCTACCTTTATCAAAAAAAAAAAATGTCTAGAAGAAAATCAAATTAAATATTTATGAGTGATTGAAATTTATAATTTTACAACATTATTGATATTCACTACATTTCTCATGTAACGATTTTCTTATTTTGTTGTTATTAAAAAACGAATGACTGTAGATACTTAAAAATTTCACTGAATTTTGATATTAGCATTTCCTATACACCATACAGTTTTGAAAATATTTTGACTCTTTTTGAGCTGTTTACAGACATTTACAGTTTTCAATTTTTTTAGTTTTTTTTTCTATAAATATCAATAAAATTTTATTTGTTGGGTAAAAAAGGTTGAAAATGTAATGCAAAGCTGATATAAAATATGTCTACTGAGTAAAAAAAAATAGTGTACTAATAGAGGGTTAAGGTAACATAAATTAATAATCTTACTTGTTGCCTGTTACAGTAACACACAAGCCCAGATCTCCCCCCCCCCCCTTAGTGTTATATTATAAATTGTATTAAAGTTTATCAAAATTCTGTATTTTTTTTGACAATATATTTTTTTACCTTGAATAAATGCTGGTTGCGCTACTAACAGTTAAGAATTTTCTTGAATAATTAACACCCAAAACAAAATGTGTTTCAGTTGAAATTAGACAAGCTTGAACAGCTGATAAAAGAACAGTATAATTTGCAAATGATGTTACAAGAACGATTGCTTTTGAAAACAGAAAAAGTGGAGAATTATTTGAAAAATAAAGATGGATTTAATTTAAGTCATCATGGAGTTATTTTGGATAGTGAATTTTTAGAAAATTTTCCAATGACCAATAAATTTACATTTTCAACAATTGAAAATCTCATTTTAAACAGCACTAATTTTACAGAAAAACTGGTACAATAAAATATATTTTCTTTATTCTATTAATTATTATCATTAAAATTAAACAAATATTTTAATAATATTCAGGAATATTTCATTAAGACTATTGGTGGTGTTGATCCTAAGGATCATGTAAAAAGATCACTTGGGAAATTATTCAAAGATGAATATGCGATAAAATGCACTTGGACAGGCCGAGGAAAAGAAATTGTAACAAAAATTGGAGATTCCGCAATAATAAAAATTCTTAAAAGTAAGACAATTTCACACCAATTAAATACATTCCCGTCTTATTTTTCTTCTTAAAGAGAGTTGAAATGTTTTAATTTTCTTAAATTTGGAGTATAATTAATTGATAATTTTGGGTAGTATTAGTTGTTAAGTTTTTATCAATTAGACCTAAAACTGTAATACAACCTTTCATATATTTCTATGATGTATTGTATTATAAAAATATAAAATAGGTATAGTTATTACAAATTTTCAAAGTGTTTGAAGTTCAATTTTATCTAACTTCTTGTGAACTTTACAAACTGTAAATTATCTATCAATTAGATACATAGATGTATGTAGGTATTATTTATTGGAAATATAAGCTTGTCTAAGAATTATTTTATCATAGAATTTCAATTTTAACACATCCAGTGACGTTCAATTGAAGCCTACTTACTATATAGAAAAACTACATAATATTCAAATTACTGTTGCCATTTTTTCAGTAGAATTTTTGTAGGGATATAATATATAGCCTCAGATTCTAGATCTTTTTGTCTGTGATTTTACTATATTTTAATTTTTATAAATAATTTAATATACATTTAATTTCCTTTATAGAAATTATTAAAGAAGGTAGTAAGACACTTATGACTGATTCAGAATTTGAAAAATATGTTTCTGATTGGTTCAGATACGCAAACTCAAGAAATAGTAGAGCCCAACACAACTAAATTAAAAAATAGTTTTATTTATGTTTATAATTTTTTTGTAATGTACTTAATTTTTTAATAACTTATACTTAATAAGATATTTTTTACAGTATGATATTACTTAAAAATTACAGTATTTTTTTAAATTTAATTATGACTTATTTAAGAAAAAGAAGTTTAGTATGGAGCAAAGAGCTTATCATTTTTATTTATTTTTATTTTACTGCATAATTTTTCTATTTTTACTGTATTTTACTATATTATTTGTAAAATTATTAAATATTTTGAAGAATATGTTATAACTAAAACTAAAGCTAATTGTATTTTTATTTGCATTGGTAGTTCATCGCAGAAAAAAATGTTTAGGAAAAATATCAACACGTTACTTTAAACATATAATTGCTTTTAAAAAAAAGAAGATATCTAAAATGAATTTAAACCATAATTCTCAGTTTGATTGTAGAGAAACTAATGTCTCAAATAATCTTAATTTAAATTCAGTTCATGAAAATAATTTTAATTTTACTTCAAATAATAATTGTGTTCCTCCAGTAGCAGAAAACTGGCCAATTGAAAATGTAATTAATAATAGTTCAGATTTTTCTAACAATGATGATGATAACAGTACTACTCAATTATTTAATAGTTCTTCTGATAATGAATTATCTGACAAAATTAACCTAAGGGATAAGATACGATCATGGATCATCCAATATAAAGTATCACATAATAGTGCCAATTGCATTTTAAAAATTATGAAATCTGAGGGGTTAAATATACCTAAAGATGTTCGCACATTAATGAAAACTCCCAAAATATATGAAATTGTTCCTTTGGGATCTGATGGTTCTTATGTTCACTACGGGTTAAGAAATATGTTGTTACCATTATTAACCAAATATATAAATTACATAGATTTTTCGAATACTTTAAAATTAGGTATTAACATAGATGGAATACCAATAACTAAAAGTTCCAAAAGTCAGCTGTGGCCCATTCTTATTTCAGTCATTAATTGTAGTCAAATTTCTAATATTGTGCTTTCAATCGGTATATTTCACGGTACTAAAAACCAGTAAATATTAAAAGTTATTTCCATCCATTTATTGTTGATATTTCATCATTGTTAGATACAGGTATGAAAATTAATTGCATTGATTTCAAATTTGAAATAGGATATATAGTGTGTGATGCGCCTGCTAAGGCATTTCTGTTGAATGTTAAGGGGCATAATGCTTATTTTGGATGTACTTCATGAGTTCAGGAAGGTACCTATGTATAAAATCGAGTAGTCTTCTTAGATGTTGACTCATCACTTCGAACAAACGATTCATTTCGTAACAAAAGTGATGAGGATCATCATAAGGGTTATAGTCCGTTAGAACAGTTGCCAATAAACATCACAGATGTAGTATGTTTGGACTACATGCACAAGGTTTGCTTAGGTGTTGTTAAACGTCTAATTGAGTATTAGGTTAAAGGAAAAAAAGATGTCCGATTAACTAACGATAACTGTATTAAAATTTCAGAAGATTTAATAAATTTAAGAATCTATGTTCCACACGAGTTCAGTCGCTTACCAAGAAAAATTGAGGATATTGAGTATTGGAAAGCCACTGAATTAAGATCATTTCTCTTGTACTATGGTACAATTGTATTAAAACACAGATTAAGAAGAGAATTGTATTTACATTTCATGTTGTTGTCATGTGCGATTAAAATTTTAGTGGCTCCTCATATTTGTCAAGTACACAATAATTTAGCGGAAGGGTTATTACAACAATTTGTTATTTTATACTCATCTTTATATGGAGAACATTTGGTATCGTACAATGTCCACAATTTAATACATTTACCTAGATTTGTTACATTACACGGACCGCTAGACAACTTTAGTTGTTTTAAGTATGAGAACTACTTACAATTTATCAAAAAATCCATAAAAAGTGCAAATACCCCCTTCAAGAAATAAGTAATAGGATTATAGAGAAACAAAATATTTTTATATCTACTCCATTAAAACCATTTCAATCAATAAGAACTAAAGAATTAGAAAATAGATCACCTTCAATATATTATACATTAATTGATAAACTTTTTGAAAAAATTATTATACACAATTCAAATATTTGTATAAATGTTTTAAAAGAGAGTGATAAATATGTTATGTTGAAAAATAATTTACTGGTAAAATGTACTCATATTTTTAAACAAAGCAAATCAGACCAGGATTGCAGTAATGTTAAATTAATTGCACAAAATTGTTTAAGTTTAACACCTTTTTTTATGAGACCAATTGATTCTATTATCATAGATTCATATATAATAGACACACAACTTTTGTCTAATGAATTTGAAGTTGATATTAATGATATTAAGTATAAATGTATTTGTATTTGTATTACAGGTAACAAAGCTATTGTTACAACTTTATGTCATACATTATCTATTGATTAACTATTATAATATTCTATTGTATCTTATATTTATAAATTGTATTTGTATTCTTATTTAAAATATATTAATACGTATTTACTTTATCTATGTTTTATTCATTTAATAAATTCATATAATAATTGTAACACTAATTAAAAAAAAAATATTTAGGGATTAAAAATACCTATCATATTGACATGTATGTAATATTGAATGATAAATACCTATGTAATGTTATTTCAAACATTAATGTAACGCTACAAAAAAAAAAAAGAGAAATAAGAGTGACATTATAACAAGAGTGCGATGTTGATTTCCAATGTAAAATAAATGTATTCTTATAACATTATAGGTTTGTGACTGTGTAATTCCTACGGGGTCGACGATCGCCCACCTTGTCGTGGTGACCCCGCCCGACCGGGCTTAATGCCCGGCGCTAAGAGGCGTTCAAAAACTGTCCGGAGTAGGCCGACTCCGGACTTCTAACCCCTGGCATGGATAAATGCCCGCCGGCGACCAGAGGGTGTAGGGCTACACGGGGCAACCCCCCAATCTAACAACATGAATACACAAACAATAATAAAGATGTTACTGATACAAAGGCCCAGGAAACCTTAGATCCGGCAGGTGTGGGTGAGCTCGCCACACAGGTCGTCATCAATAGCTCGGATAATGCGCAAACGAATACGGAAACGGCACACTTGGATTATAAAGAAACGGACAGGAATAACGGACATTGCTACTCTGACCCACTTAGACTGAGGGGAGGTGGTGACGAAGACGATGATGACGAAAACGTCGTCGACATGTCAGATGCCGAAGGCAACAGTGGTGGCATGGTCCCGGCAGGCGGCGGCCAGAAGCGCGGCCCACCATCGCCGGTTGCGCAAAGCTCTAAGCAGCCGAGAACGGTATATAAGGCAATTGATCATAGAGAATTCAACGACCTCTTAGGATGGCTTGAGCAAACGGTCATACAAGAGAAAGGAAAGAAGTTAGGAGTCCAAGTCTCAGAAAAAATGTTGAGCAAACTTGCTAGGCTCAGAGTTGTCACGACCGGCCTCGCACACGATAACAGCAAGTTACAAGGGGAACTCAAGGGTAAAGAGGATACCCAGAGGATGAGCCTCACATGCTTTATCGACAAGCTTGACGCAAAGAACGCTGAAGCTAACAGCCTGAAGGCGGAGTTGGAAACGCTTAGAAAGGCAGGACCGGCGCCTAGCAAAGAACCCGTCCCTAGACCAACATATGCCGATAAAGTTGCGAGCGCACCGAAAGCCGCGGTCGCTACAGCACCTAAGACCAAAAAAGCAAACGAAAAAGAGCAGCTAAAACGGAGTAGAAAGGTCAAAGCAACGTCGCGCTTCATGGTAGAAATACCAAATGACATGACCGTGGCCAACGCGAAAGCAGGATTATGGGAGACAGTTAGAACAAAACTTAAGAACCCTAGAGCAAAGACCATCGTAAGCGGAAAGTCACTAATTATCATACCGGACGACGCTAACACGTTGGAGGTGACGAAGGACCTCGAACAGGCGATAGAGATTAGCCCGAGAAAGCCGCGGATTATTTTATATGACGTCGAAAGCGGGATAACAGCGGAAGAGCTAGCTGAGTGCCTCCTGGGTCAAAACACTGAACTCGGACTGACCGCTGAAGATGTGGGGTGTATGACACCATTGCACAAACTGGGGCCCCGAGACGGCCATGTCGTCCATTGGGTAATCGAAGCACCAGCGAACGTAGTGTTAAAATTGGAAAACAGGTCCATATATATTGGAATGACCCGCTGTCGGTGCAAGGTGCACAGCTCTACCCCACAGTGCTACAATTGTCAGCAATATGGTCATACGTCGCTGAGGTGCGAACAGAAGGTTCCTACATGCAGACACTGTGCAGGCGCCCATGACTCCCGCGAGTGCAAAGACGAAGCGGTGATGTGCGCGAATTGTAAAGGGCCGCACAAAGCGTCCAGTGCAACATGCAGGGCCAGGACTCAGGCAGAACGTAGCCTTTTAAGGCGAACGGACTTTGGCTCGCAATGACCGAGACCATACAGTTCGTACAGCATAATGTCAATCGACCGAAAATAGCGAGTCAGCAGCTAAGGGATTATTGTGACCGAACAAAAACTGACATCATCCTACTACAAGAGCTCGTTATAGTAAACGGTAAAGCCTACGCCTTTGAGAACTGCAGGCAGGCAGCGAGCGGCGATAACCCGGGCGCGGCTATAATAATCCTCGACCCCAGACTGCGGGTGATCGAGATGGCAGATCTGTCCAGTCAACATGTTGCGGTTGTGAAAATATCAAATGACAGCGATATCAATGCAGTCACGGTGGTGTCGGCATATTTTAAATACAACATGCCGACCCACAACTTCACGGTGAAGTTGAGGACCATACTCGAACGTGAAAGCAGGACCATAATTGGAGCCGATGTGAATGGACACTCGCCGCTCTGGCATTGTGACAATACCAATGACCGCGGAAGACAAACCGTTGAACTGATTGAGGATTTTAACCTCGCAATAGTCAATCGGGAAAGCGAGATTAGAACGTACAACCGAGAGGGCATGGGCTCATCGAACATCGATGTAACCATCGCAACACCGCAAACCGCGAACCTGGTGCGGGACTGGTCGGTTATGGATGTAACCGACTGTGACCATAACGTGCTGTCTTTCTGCGTTGACCTTAGGACCGACAGAGTGCCGAGAGAGGTCGCACACCGTTATAATACCAAAAGGGCTGACTGGGCTAAGTTCATCACACGCCTGATCGATCGTAGAACCGAAATTGACAGATCCAACATTGACACGTATGCTCGGACGCTAGTCGGCATAATTCAGGGTGCAGCCGCGGACTCTATGCCGAAAACAAGCACTGCCGGCCGGAGGGCAGGTAAACAGCCCTGGTGGACACCTGAACTCACCACCGCCAAAAAGGCACTGAACCGCATGAGGAGAATGGGGCTCCATAGATCTGATAGACCGACCTACATTCAGGCGCGAAATGCATACGTAGCCCTCATTAGAACCGCTAAACTAGAAGCGTGGCGCATCTTTGCTGGCGACATCAACGCCAACAAATGGGGAAAAGCGTTCAGCTGGGCGAAGAACGGCTCTAGGTCCAAGAAAGTCCCCTCCACCATGGTCCGCCCAGATGGAGCGATGACCGAAACGCTGGATGAGACGGCGGAAATACTTTTGGGCTCCTTCTTCCCGAGAGAGGGGCAAAGAAGAGTCTTCGATAAGAGTGGGCCGATAGATGAATACGGTGGCACGGTAGACTTCGAGAGAGTAAAATCGGCGATTTGGAGGATGCGCCCAGGAAAAGCCCCTGGAGCCGACGGCATCACAGCAGGGATATTAAGAAAGGCATGGCCGATCCTCGGTGAAGAGATTGTACATCTCTTTAGGATGTGCATTACCGAAGCCAACTTCCCACAGTCGTGGAAATGTGCTAAATTAGTTGTACTGCCTAAGCAGGGGAAAAAGGATTTCACGAACCCCAAATCATACAGACCTATCAGCTTGCTGCCAACAATGGCGAAGGCACTGGAAACGCTGATAATTCAGGACTTGGTGTTAGAAACTGATCTAAATAGTTACAGCCAGCAACATGGCTTTATGCCCGGCAAATCAACCATCACGGCACGATAGCAATGGCAGGCACGTGTTTGGGGTGTTTCTGGACATCACCGGGGCCTTCGACAACGTCGGCTGGTTCCCGCTGCTGTCCAGACTCGACGCACTCGGCGCCTCGCTTAGAACGATAAGACTTATTCAGAGCTACCTCAAAAATAGGACAGTAAGCCTCGTGATCGAGGGAAAACGATACCAGAGGACAATTGAGCGAGGATGCCCACAAGGGTCCCAGCTTGGTCCCACATTGTGGAAGGTTGCCATGACGGAGATTGGTAACATACAGCTGGACAGCACGGCCAACATGGTGCTGTATGCGGATGATATCGCGCTAACGGTAGCAGCGGCGAGGCCTCAAACGGCACACATAAGAATTGAAGGATACCTTGATAGCCTTAAGGTGTGGGCGAAGGAATACTAGTTGGAGTTCTCGCCGGCAAAAAGTCAAATACTTAACCTGAAAGGAGGTTTGAAGCCCGGCTACTCAGTAGGCTTTGGCTCAGGAAATGATGACGCCAGGATCGTGGCTAAAGGGACAGCGAAGTACCTGGGCGGCACACTGGACCCCAAAGAGAGCTTCTGGGACCACATATCGTCCCTCAGAACAAAGTCAGAGGGCATGTACCATAGACTCCGACAGATGACGTCAGCAAATTGGGGCATGGGCCGAGCAGCGGCCAGAATCATCTATGAAGCGGTCTTCCTCCCCCGCATAACATATGCGGCGGAAATCTAGGCAGAAAACGGGTGCTCCCTTAAGAAGAGCATTGCAGCCCTGTTAAGTATGCAAAGAGACCCACTTAGAGCAATTACGAGTTGCTATAAGACTGCGTCAACCAACTGCCTCTCGGTCGTGGCGGGTGTACTCCCGCTCGATCTTGAGGTTAGGAGGGTAGCGCAGAAAGGCAGGCTAAGAGCCGGCGTGATAACTCACGAAGAATATAGCACAGGACTAGACGCGCTAATGGAGGAGTGGCAGGTCAGATACGACGCAGTCGATAAGGGTGAATGGACTAAGTTCATGATCCCAGACGTAGCCCGACGATGCGGACTGCCACTGGAGCTAGACCACTACACCACGCAGTTCCTGACCGGACATGGAGACTTCCGTAGCAAGCTCTACAGCTTCAAGCTGCAGCCGAACCCCAACTGCGCCTGCGGTAATGGGGCAGAGACGGTCAGGCACGTACTATTGACATGCACAAGGACGCAACGGTTCCGTGAAGTGCTCATTGCTGTAATGATGGAAGAAGGGGTGACTTGGCCCCCCGACAGTGGAGCCTTTCTTAGCTCTAGAAAAACATATGAAGCGCTTAGAAAATTCAGCAAAGACTGTCTGAAGAACAGAGACGATAGGTATGACCTATTATGGGTCAGGGCGCAGCAGCACCTAGCTGGTGTATTGCACAGACTCGGGGTTACCCGGGGCGAGCTCACGCGTCTGGGACGAGGAGTACGGCCCAGTTGCTGGGGCCGTCCAGAATTCAGCATCAGTATTCCCTGCTTGTCGTAAGAGGCGACTAAAAGGGAAATGGCCAGTCGGGGCCGGCGTCCGGGACGCGGACACACCGAAACCTCCGGGGACTAGGGTGTTGGAGGTTCTGACTGCGACCTCGTGAAGAGCGAGTCGATCACCTCGGTGATTCCTCTGGGAGGCGTGGCAAAGGCTACCGAGCCTTGAACTTGGGGGTCGCGGCCACCGCGCCAGGGCGACCGCCGCTGGTAAGGGCCCACCGTGAGCCCGTGATACACGATCCTAATCTTGGTAGGACCACAGCTGAGACTCCTGGTCGACGAAGCTCGGCCCGAACATCCAACCACTGATGTGCTTTCCTAACGGGAGCGAGAATGGTACTTCGGGATGTGGGGGGGCCCCGCGGCGTCGAGTTGATTGACGACGTGCCCTCACACGGCGGTCGCGCCCGGCCTCGGTCGCGGCGCGGTCGACGGCTGTTTGGTTTCGGAGTGGCTGTTAGCGGGAGCTAACCCTATGGTAAAAAGACCAAATGCTCGGTCTAGGGGAAGGTTGCCGAGTGAGAAACTCCTTAGCGCTCACCCAGCCTACCGGTGGGGCTATATGCACCGGAGGTTGCCCGTGACCAAAAACGGGAAGCAATGAGGATAGCTTGCGACCCGACCAGGGTGGCGAAGGGCACGTGCACGCCTCAGCCAACGGTACGGGCGCACCCTCTCCCGACTTCGGTGGGAACGGGTGTGGGCCCGGTGCTCGTGGTCCATAGACGACGCGCAGGCGGTGGTTGGTGGCAACGCCACCGTACGCCGACCGTGAACCTCCACGGCCCTCGACTAGCGCACAGCGCTAATGTGAGGTCCGCGGTTGTAGCCGCAAGGCATCAAACTCGGGAGTCTTCGTGTTTAATTCCTATACAACATTACATTGACATATTGTGTAGAAGGTTTCTATTATTTATGTTTTAAAAATATTTTTATGTTATTATCAGGTCAACAGTAACTGATTATTAGCAGTTAAGGCGATGTAATTTTTACAAATAGTCAACACATTTTGTAATATTGCATGTTACAGTGGAATATTGTTTTATCATTAATGAAACATGGTATTGCACAGTGGGAGGAAGGCTATGCTTAACTTTTGAGAGTGCATAGCCACTCCACTACTCCAGCCTCCTTAATTGAGCTTATGTCTATTACCTATATCCGTTGTTCATTAATCATTATCATATTAATATTATCTGCAGATTTTAGTTAAAACTTATAACTTATTACTATTATTAGGTAGGTATAACATTAATATCGTATACATACGCAACTATATAGTCATCTGGCTATAATTGATTGAACAACTTTTCCGTTTTAAATGCTAAAAACGAAATAATTTATTAAATAATGCCATAATGTTATAAATAATAATAATATCTTGGACCATAGTAACAAGATTTGTTTATTTATATTTGAGTTTTTATTTTTTTAAATTAATTATTCACAAAGCAATACCGGACGAACTTAGAGAGAAACGCTGGTTGAGTTAGATAGAATAATCGGGGAATGTCCAAGAACTGGAGTGGCACCTGACTAGAATGGCTCATATATATAACGAGACATACTGCACTGAGGACAAAGAGAGGACTACTGGCGGGCTATCAGACCTGGACATCACGAGGCCGATCCCAAAGGAACACGGTCGGTCTCCCCTGCGGTGACCTGGCCACGTTCTCGTTGGGCCACGACGACGGCTTAGGGTATTGGTGTACTACAACTTAATATGCGGCCGAACGGCCGGCGACAGAAGAGGAAGATGCGTTCTTGACGGCGGAGATGGATAAAAAAATATATGGCGTGCAGCGGCGGCACTTAGAGCAGCCGCAGCAGAGGATCGGGATCAACGAGGACAAGTTTGGAGATCAGCCGCCGCCGGAGGACCACCAAAGGCATAATGTCTTGGAAATGCTGCCCGCGTCCGGGAAACCGGCCCGCCCTTGAGCGAGGACGGTGTTCGTTCTGCTGTGGTCCGGGTGGGCAAGCGCGGTCGGGCGAACGGGACTAGACAGCCTGCTGCAGATGTCGAGATGCGCGTGCCAGAGTTGCAGGTGTCGAGACCGGGAGATGGTGACAGCAGAGTCGAAGTTGAGGAGGAACAAACGGAGTGACGGTGAAACTGGACGGGGTAAAAAGAGACTTGGCAGTCCCAAGAGAAGCGGGAAAATTTATATATCACAGCAAAAGCCGGCTATTATACATCAATCTAAGGGCCCTTTTCCAGGAGCGTTTTTAAACGCGTGAACGGGCTTGAGTTTAAACGCGCGTTTATGAAATGCATTGGGAGCAATACAACCGTATCCATTTAAACGCGCGTGAGTTTTTAACGCGCGTTCGATAACAATCAATTGCAGATAGTTAGGACGTTTCCACGGGAAGAAAAACGCGCGTCTCGGTACCAACTATCATAATATAATAATTTATACAAAAAAGGTTTAATATCAATTAGTGGGGTTGGTATAATTGACAAAAGATGAAGAAAATCATGACTGTTAAATTTCAACTAATGGTAATTGCTATAATTGTTTTACTACGAAAATACAAAATATAGAAAATCAGTTTTTTTCTTTTTTTTATCTCTTTGTCAACTATGGATTCGAGAAACGAACATGTTGACACTGAATTATTTATAAGTGCTATTGAGAACGAGAATGCGATATGGAACAGTCAAACTGCCGAATATAGCCAGAAAAATGCCAAGACAAAGGCCTGGGAAAATATATTAAAAATATTTTACAAAAATTTTGACGACAAACCTATAGCAGAAAAAAATTACATTGGTAAGTACATTATAGATAAACGGTACTTAGTGTTCATATATTTAAAAATATAATTAATACTTAACAGTATTGACACTTAATTCATCTCAATGTAATTTTTTTTTTTATATTTCTAATAATACAATTTGCATGTAGTGTTTAGTTGCATAATAAATAATAATACATGAATAATTAATACTTTAAATTATATTAATAAAAAAGACTAAATTAATCCAAAGTTTAAAGTAAAATCACTTTTACAAATAAAAAATAATATATAATATTAATATAATAGGTAAATTTACTATACTGCACAATAAACATGATAAAAATAATTACTAAAAATATACATTTATAATAATATGTAATATAGTTCATTAAATTTTCGAATCTTGCCACGGTACAGCTCCGATATTACTTTCAAAATACGTGAAGAAAGGGAAAAGGCAGAAGACAAAGACGATGAAGATAAATTATTTTTACTAAGTTTAGTGAGCTCTTTTAAAAATATTCCTCAAGAATTTAAGCTTGATGCTAAGGCTGAATTTATTGGTCTCCTTAAAAAATATAATAACTTGAGTACCGCAAGATCTAGCTCTGTTTTACAAAGCTTTCCTACCGCTTATTTAAATCAAAATTTGTCTGATCGCAACATATTTTATACTCAACCAAATCATTCCTCGTTATCATTAAGTCAATATAACACACCAACAACTTTTTCGGCATCTACTAATAATATTATAA